GGTTGTTGGTTGAACATTCCAAAATTGGCAAAGTGGGTTTTCCCACATCAAAGATGTTTCATAGTTTTGTTTAGTTCCACATCACTTTTAACTTGTCTCGATTGGGGTTTCTTTGTTGGCAATGAAATTTTTCACTTTTTAAGAATACATGACACAATTGTGGGTAATTGTTTTGTGGTAAATGCTCAAAAGGGCATCCATTGTGTAGGTTTTCCAAACAGAAATAATATTATTTTCCAGTAGTAGTTTTTTGCGTATTTTTTCTATATGACGTTGCTTTACGAATTGTATGTATTCTTGATAAACGTTAAATTCTGAGACGATTTACTCATGTCTGTGCTTAGTAATCACCTAAAACACGAAAACTTGGCTCAAGATCGTATTATGTCCGGTATTTTCAATGCTTTGGAATTTAAGGATCCCAATGAGATCTCAAACTCTTTACAAACTAATTTTAATTTTACCGTTTTATGGGGAATATTAACGCACCGACCGATTTTAGGTATTTTGAAGGTGTTCGAATGTAATTTTCTAGAATTTAATCTTTGAGGTTCTTATTCAATATTTGAAGGTATTGACCCCATTTTGCAACGGAATAAGCTATAATTCCACACAAAAATCAACAGTATTGGCTAAAATTTAGTATTTGAGGTTCTCATAGAATGCATTATCTGTGTTTGAAAAGCTTAAATATTACACTGTGCGATAAAATCCATTTTCAAACCCTCCGTCATAGTATGGCTTATATTAAGTTTGTGATTCCGTTTGTAACACCTCGAAATATACATTTAGAACCCAAAAAGTATATATATTCTTGGTCAGCATAAAATTCTATATCGATTTAGCGATGTCCGTCTGCGGAAGTCTCTTTAACTTCCGAACGAAATGAAGTAGGTTGATCAAATTTTTCGGTATTGAAAATGGGTCATGTAGGTCCACGTTTTGGTATAGCCCCCATATAACGGTACCTCCCGATATTCGTTATTTTGATGATTTTAGCGACGTTATTCACCGAAATTGTTGCGAATTTGGTATTTAAAGTTCGTAATGGATACTACAGCCTATGACAGAAAATTGTCTGTGCAGGTCCACGCCTTCGTATAGCCCCCATATAACCGCACCTCCCGATATTCGGTATTGTGATGATTTTAGCAACATTATTAACCGGAATTGTTGCATGATTTGGTATTTAAAGTTCACAATGAATACTACAGCCAATGACAGAAAATTGTCTGTGCAGGTCCACGTTTTGGTATATCCCTCTTAAATGGTATAGTTCTTAATATAACGGCTACGTTCGGTAATTTTAACATTTTAACAGAATATTTAAAGATTTTTTTTTGAGAATTTCCAAATTCGTTCCAAATGGTGGAGGGTATTCAAAGATCTGAAAAGATCGCCTTTCGAAAATATTCAATATGTTGAAAAGTTTTCGTACACAATACATGAAGATTTTCAACTCAGCTAATTTTAGTGTCAAGGGAACTGGGCTGGAAGAACTCTTTTCTATTGAGAACACAAACTGCCAAGTTATAGCTAAATTATACATGCCTTTAGGAGCACTCCTGGGCTTAGAAAAATAAAATAGATCCTGCTTTGCATGTTTTCTAGAGAGACTAAATTCCTCGCAAAATCGAGCAGATTTTACTATTGCCGAGTACTCTCATAGTTTTTGTCATGCCATAGAAAGTATATTAATTTTCTCTGTCCAAAACTTCAAACGAAACAAAGTCAAACTCATTGAAGAGCATTGTCGCCCAACTGTACATAAAAGGAAATATGTTGTAACTTGTGTTATTTTTATACAACTCCTGGTTTTTGCTGTGTTTCTCTTCTTTGCTTTTTTACACGGTCCACCCACAATCCACAGCAACATCCAATTCCGTTTACAACTTAACACACACACACGAAGATACAAATCACCAAAATTTTATACACTCGATCTTATTCTTAGAGTAAACTTACTCTGTCTCGATTTTACTCTGTTTCGAGTATTTCGATTCCCACTCTAATTTTTGCAAACACAAGTAAGTTTCACATAAACAAAAGAGCGCAGAGTAAAACGCTTGCGAGCAAAATTCACTCGGGAGTAAAAACAAACCATTCTGCTCTCTGAATTTATCAAATCACTGACTAATGTTAATGACGGGTGCTATAAAATTCCAAAAAAAAATCCACTTTAAGTTGATGATTCAATACCAGGTCAAAGGTTAATTCCCAACAGCAAAGCTTAACACCACAAGGTGGTCAGGGTATTATATCTTTGTGCATTTGCTTGTAACAGGCAAAAGGAAACGAGATATATCCATAGTTCCTTTTGATGATCTGCATTGAATCACATTCTGAGTTGATTTATGCATGTCCGTCCGTCCAAAGTACAGTTCGCATTTATTGCCCAATCCAGATGAAATTTTGCATAAACCATTTGCTTGGCCCAAGTACGAACCCTTTTGAAATTGGAGATGTAACTCCTATAAATATCTTCGTCCGATTTGCCTTTTATTGTGCACCAAACGTGTAATTTCAGCAAAATGTAATTTATGCAAAATTTGATCGAAATCAGTTCAGATATAGCTATAGCTCCCATATATATTGTTCATCCGATTTGTTATTTTTGTCCTCCGCAGCCGTAATATGCACTCTGTAACAACAATATTTGGAGAAATATATCAAATACAGCTCAGAAATACCTTTGCTAAATTTTATCGAGATCGGTTTAGATTTGGATATAGCTCTCATATATAACTTCGTCCGATTTACCTTTGATTGTGCACCAAACGTTTAATATTTGCCCAAATGGGATGGAATTTGGCAATTACGACCGAACTGAGTCTAGAAGCTAGTATATCAAATTTTGTGAAGATCGGTTCAGATATAGCTATAGCTCCCATATATATTGTTCATCCGATTTGTTATATTTGTTACCCGCAGCCGCAATATGCACTCCGTAACAACGACATTCAGGGAAATATATCAAATACAGCTCAGAAATATCTTTGCCAAATTTTATCGAGATCGGTTAAGATTTGGATATAGCTGCCATATATATCTTTATCCGATTTCAAATTAATTGTGCACCAAATGGGCAATACAAGTCCGAATTTAAAAGATACAAATGCTTCGGCATATTTAGTTCTTTGAACTTTAAATTATAATTATAACCATAGCGTGTATGATTGAATTCTCCCATAAAAAATTTTAATTGTTATGTGGAGCTCTACTAAATTAGCCAAGTGGTGTAGGGTATCATACAGTCGGTCCCGCCTGACTTTAGGACTTTCTTTACCGGTTTTAGACTACTCCATTACGAAAATGGAATACATTCTTTAAAAGGGCAATAAAATAACCAATAACTTAAAAAATGGGCAGTCTATAAACGCCATTATATCGTGTTTTGCGTAAGGAGCCAGTTTACACTGTTAACTGAAGGCGGTCGTTATCAAGAATGTCGCTTATTTGCTGATTGTGTCCTTGAAATGTATAAAAAGGTCCGAAAATCTATCGGAAAAACGTCTTAACTTAGCAGTCTCATTTTTCTATCAGTGACTACGTAAACATTTAAAAAGTAACATCTGTGATTTGGTAAAACCAAAAGTTATTGTTGAGAAGCCTCTCCATCATAGTGATGCGCTTTTTGGTCCAGCAGGATTGTTGGACCAGCCCAGTATTGGTTTAAGATCTCAAAGATGAAATTCGTGGACATAGGGTAACCAATTTTCCATTCAGCTTGTTTTGAAAAACAAATGTATACTAGCAAGTAGCCGCTACTTTGTCAGCAAAAAGTCCACACTCAATTTTTAGATTCGTTCCAAAAGTTCGTGTTAGGCCTTTTTAGACCCTCCACCATACATAGTGTGGATGGTATATTAAGTTCTTCATTCCGTCCGTGTGTTGTAATCACACTAGAGTCAAAACGAATAAAGATAGGAAGCTAAAATTTTGCACAGATCCCTCTTTTGTGTGCAGGCAGGTCAAGTTCGGGGATGGGTTATATCGGTCCGCGATATCGTATGACTCCCATATAACGGTAACCAATTTTTTCAATGAAATTGTCTGAAAATCCACGCAAAGACATCTTTCTATGCACTTTACCCTCTGGAATGGATAATTGTGTTAATAGGTCCACGATATCGTATAGACCCCATACAACGGTATTCTGAATTTTTATGATATGGACATTATTCACCGAAGATGTTTCAATTTTTGTATTTACAGTTCGTAATGGGGTTTTTACTGGTTTTTAATTAGTTAAATTCTGATTTTACAGCTAAAATAGATTTTCCATTACTTGGGTGCAGTGAGTATTTAATACATATTCCCCGATCGACGAGAAAATGCTACATTTTTCCAAAGTGTGATTTTAACTCACAATAGACTGTGTGAAGTTACTTTCTACAAATCGATATGCCCTATATCCCCTTTTAATAGAGTTTTTACTTTCTTCTATATATGTCACAGAGTGACAAAAAATTACTACATCATTCGGATATTAATTCTCTTATTGATTCCCAACAAAAATTGTTCACACAATTTTCACTTGCTCAACCCATTCTTTAATCAAAACACGAATTGTCACAATTAACATGAAATATTTCTACACTTCAACAACAAGTAGTAAAAATTTTAATTAAAAACCGCTAAGGCTTTTGGCGTAACGAAACCAAAAACAATTCTCACAGGTTACAATCACCGACAGACTGCCAGCCAGCCAGCCACTCTTTTGATATATATGACGACGATGCCGTTTATTGCCGGTACGCCGACTGACATACATATTTGTGCGTCTTTTGCCATGAGCCGACGCCAAAGAGGGTGACTGGGTTATTGTGTGTTTTGGTTTTGAGGTTTTCGTTTTTTTTTTTTTGTTTTTGTTTTTTTGCTAAGGTGCAATTGCGAAAATTAAAGTTCATTAATAGACAGAAAAAAAGCCGCAATTTAAACGAAAACAATTTTTACGATATTTTGATTGGTGTGTTTTTGTGTCGTTTCTTTCTTTCTAGAAATAGTGTTTATCATTCTAACGGTGTACCGGCATTTTTAATAAGTCCTAACGGAGGAACCAAACCCAACAAACAACATTTATAACCGAAGATAGGAAATACAAATGCTAAACAACAACTACAACACTTTTTTGGAAGCCCTCATAATTTAAGCTGATTAAAAGACCGGAATACAGACGAAAGAACACCAATCAAACACCATCACGCAGACATCTTAGACTCTAACTAAGCGGAAACAAAAACATCGTTCAGCACAATCCGAAAATCGCATGAAATAAATTATTACAGCAAGTCATTAAGTGATTATCGCCGTCATTGTTTTCTTATTTGACCGACAAAAAAGAAGAAAACGTCAAGAGAAGAGGTAGAAGAAGAAGAAGAAGGCGGACGAATAAACCAAGTCTGAGAGGAACGTGTGAAATGCTAACGAATCGTCTTCATCATGACAGCCTTTAAGTTAACCGAAGTGAAAGCTGACATCTTCCAAATTCCCCAGTCGTATTCGTTGGCCTTTAGCAGCACCGCTGATTTCTATGCCGAAAAGGGCAAATTAGCATGGAAGGTCGGAGTGATTTTTGGCCAGTACGATGAACTTAGTAGCCAGTACATTACGAGTGGTAACGTTGCCGTTTTGGAGGATCATGCCCGTTTTATCTATCTACTGGTGACCAAAGATAACATGTACCACAAGAGTAGCTATGGCGATGTGGAGGCATCGCTGATATGTCTGCGACATCATATGGTAAGTTCATACACACACTTATATATAATGAATATATAATCCCTCCACCCTTCTATGGAGGGTATATTAACTTCCGTTCCGTTTGTAACTCCCCCAAAAATGCATAATAGACCCTACAAAGTATATATATTTTGGATCAGCGTAAAATTCTAAGACGATCTAGCGTTGTCCGTCCGTCTGCCTGTCTGTTGTTATCACACTTTCGTTGTCATCTTTCGAACGAATTGAGATAGAAGGCTAAAATTTTGCACACATACAGGGTTGCCCATATTCGACGGACCTTTGGGCCCTTTGGGCCCATTCCAATCGACGAGGCTTGTCCGCAGGCAACATTCTTTGCGTCAATTGAATTTTGTACGGGAACAAATGCAAATCAATGCGAATAATCCGTTGTAAAGTGGACCGAAACATGCCCAACTGCTAAGAACGGCGTTTTTGGGATGTTCTTGGGGACCTCTCAACACTGGCTCGTACGGCAGCGATATTCTCGGCCGATCGCCTTGGTCGACTTTTATATGGCCTCTTTGGATTAGAAAGAGCCTTACCAGTTGAAAATTTTTCGTATAAACGCTTAATGGTGTTCATAGAAGGCGCACTTCTCACACTTTTTAATGTTTTAAAAGCACGTTGAGTTTTCACAATTGACTTCTTCTGTTGAATGTAAATTTCAACTATTTCAGAGCGCTCGCGTGACGTGTATTGGTTCATGGTAAAAATCTGCTTGGACTGACGCTTCAAACGCGGTATGTCATTAAGCGATGTGACATCTCTGTCAAAAGTTATGGCGTTGCCAGATGGGTCCGTCGAATATGGCAACCCTGTACATAGTTTACCAGTAGGCAGGTTACATGGGCCATGTCGGTTCACGTTTTCGTATAGCCCCCATATAACGGTACGTCCCGATATTCGGTATTTTCATGCTTGTAACGACATTATTTACCGGAATTATTTCGAATTTCGTATTTGAAGTTCGTAAAGCGTACTACAGCCTATGACAAAAGTTTTTATATACAGGTCCACGTCTTCGTATAGTCCCCATATAACGGTACCTCCTGATAGTCGGTATTTCGACGATTTCAGCAACATTATTTACCGGAATCCTTTCAAATTTCGTATTGAAAGATCTTAATGGGTACTACAACTTATAGCAAAACAATTCGTATGCCGGTCCACATCTTCGTATAGCCTCCATACGACGGTGCCTCTCCATACTCCGTATTTTCATTATTTTTGCGACATTATTTGCCGTAATTGTAATAAGTTTCGTATTTGAAGTTCGTAATGGGCACTACAGCCTATAACAAAAAAGTTAGTGTGCAGGTCCACGTCTTCGTATAGTCCCCATATAACGATTTTCATTTGTGTGTTAGTTTTCGGAATATTTTTTGAAATTTTTCAATTTCCTTCGAAATGGTGGAGAGTATTAAAAGTTCGGCCCGGCCGAACTTAGCTGCTTTTTTACTTGTTAATATTCGAACAAATGGAATTGATTTCGGGACATCCGAGCGAATTAAGCTCAAATGAGTGAAAATTCAAATCCAGTGAAAATTGGTTCAGACTTTGCCACAGCTTTTATAAATATTTTAGTCTTGTTTAAGGTTTTAAATCCCTCACATGCGTAATATGCACTCCACAAGAAATATGTTTGGTACCGGATAACTTATGGAGCTCAAAAATACCTATGTAAATGTTTATAGAGATGGGATCCGATATAGGATATAGCTCCCATACATACCTTTATGAATTTTGAAACATCCGACCGAAAAAGTATTTCAAATTTGGTGCTTAAGTCCCTCACATGCGTAATATGCACTCCACGACAATGATGATACCGGGCATGAGATACTGCTCGAAAATACATCATGCGAATTCTAATTCGAGCTGCTAAACATGCATAATGGTGTAAGATATCACATAGTCGGCCGCGCCCGAACATTCCTAATATAGGTTCACTACTTTAATATAGATTCCCTATATCCTCGCCATGTTTCGGGCATTTTAAAGGTACCAGTCAGCAATAATAGACAGGAACGATTCAAACCCAGACCAAATTGTTCAAAATAGGCACAACATCTAAGTATCAGTACACAAAATATTTATAAATGATTTGTGCCAATATTGACATATTTATCTTTTTATATCCTCAGCTATATGGCTAAAGAGGGAGTATATCATTAGATACGGCCAAAACGTGCGTCATCGGAATAATGGTTACAGACCCTAGGTCTCTTTGCATCAAAACCGTTTCAGGACGTTTGGAGACGATCTAAGGGTGTCCGTCGGTCTGCCTGTCTGTCTGGCTGGTTGGTGCACACGATAATTCTCGAAGAGAGTATCTGAGTCGATCCAAAGTTGGTACATGGTCATATTATTGTCAAACTTAGATCGAGTTCGGAGATGGGCAGTATCGGACTATTTCCCACAAATATGTTCAAAAAAAATTTGTTCACCTCATAAAGGATCATCCAATTTTGTTCAAAATTTGCAAAACCTAATATTTGTGTTAGTGTCGGGTCGGGTGTGAAAATGGACAATATCGGTTAAATCTATAAAGTAATGGCCGACTCCTTCGGTACCATCCCAATAAAGGGAACACATTTTGAACAATCAAGTCAAAGTATATTTTATTATAAGACATAAGCAGAGGGTATATATCTGTCCACAAAACCAAAACATACAGGGTCCACGTTTAGTTATAGCCCCCATATATAGGTACCTCGCTATATTCGGTATTTTAATGATATTACTGACATTATTTACCGGATTTGTTTTAAATTTCGTATTTGAAGTTCCTAAGGGGTACTTCTGTATATGACAGAAAATTGTCTGTGCAAGTCCACGTCTTCGTATAGCCCCCATATATCGGTACCTCCCTGTATTCGGTTTTAGCGATATTATTCACCGTAATTGTTTCATATTTCGTATTTGAAGTTTGTAATGGGTACTATAGTCTATGAAAAAATTGTCTATGCATGTCTAGGTCTTCGTATAGTCCCCATATAACCGTACCTCCCCATATTCGGTATTTTCTTGATTTCAGCGACATTATTTTGTATTTGAAGTTCCTAATGGGCACAACAGTCTATGACAAAAAATTGTCTATAGGGTAAGTGTACCAGTAGTCGGCACTTTTAGGATTTTCGCGCTTTTAATCCCTCACCATTATGAGTGGAATATTTCAATTATTATAAAGTTAATTTATTCAGATTCGAAATTTTGTATAGTTTTTGCAATAATAAATAAAGTTTTAATAACTTTTTATTAAATTTCATAAATTTGTAGTTTTATTAAAACAATGTTTTTTTGCCAGTAGTCGGCACCACTTGCCAATTATCGGTATGGCATTTTCCAACAGTCGGCATACCAATTTTTTTGTAAGAATAATTAATAATAATAAATTAATTAATTAAAATATAATATTTTTGTTTAGTTAAACTGATTCGACGTCTTTATGGTACTTTTCTTAAGAATATGAATTGTTGAGGACCTTCACAGACAAAAATTTAATTTTTATTAGAAGAATTCATATTTTCTTAGCAAAATTGTGCACAAAGATAGCGGACAATATATTTGAAGTAAACAAAATACATTTAGTCATAATAGTTTCATTTGTTTGGGCTTAAAAATAAAAAGTGCCGACTACTGGGACATGCCGAACTTAGGCACACTTACCTTACATGTGCAGGTCTTCGTATAGCCCCTGAATATCGGTTCCTCCTTATTCAGCGGAATTGTTTCAAATTTCGTATTTGAATATTGTCATGGCCTATGACAAAAAAATGTTATGCAGGTCCACGTCTTCGAAAAGCCTCCAATATATAAGGTAACTCCCTATATTAGGAATCTGAAATTTTGAAAATATCTCAATTTGTTTCTAATGGTGAAGGGTATTCAAAGTTCGGCCAGGGCGATCTTATTGTTTTTTTACTTGTTTTTTTTTTTTTTTTTTTTTTTTGGAAACAATTTTTTTATCCCTATATACAAATATTTAGAGATTGCAACTAAAAAGAATATCAATAATTTTATTTAATATATATTTTTAGCAAAATCATGGGGTTCACAAAGTCGCCATGCCCCGGATCTGTTGCGGCAGTGATGGTTTGGAATGGCCACAAATCAAGAAAATGATCTCAAGAATTTTTGCACAAGAATACAATACGGAAATTATGATTTGTAATTATCGACCGGCAAAGGTAAGTTCTATCAAAATCGTTGTCTTCGTTTTTGTCATAATCTGTAGTTGCTGAGTTTATTCACATTTATAGATCACAACACCCAGATGCCGTTTCACTGAGCAAAGGGGTAATAATGTGTCGGCACCGGATAACTGTGCAGTGGTTCACACTATCAGTGCAGATTTTGCCATGTGTCCCGGTATTGGTGTCCAGTTCAATTGCAAAAACACCCGTGTCACAGAACAACTGAGACAGGATAAGCACACCGGCAATGTGGCAGTACTGAAAGATCAAAATCGTTATGTCTACAATTTAGTGACCAAAGAACGGAATCATGAGCGCGGAACATATGTGGCATTGTTTTATGCTCTAATTGCTACCAGAGATCATATGGTAACTAAGACAATATAATAATTATATTTTCATGTGGCATATATAATTTGGAATTTGTTTGAATTTTAGCGTAAAAATGGTGTCACCAAATTGGCCATACCACGCCTGGGTTGTGGCATAGATCGCCTGGATTGGTTGCGTGTTCGAGACATTTTGGAAATTGTCTTTGTTGAGGATGCTGTTGAAATTAGAACATATGCCCATGAGCCTTTGGTGTCTATGGCCAGTCGTGAATCCTTGCACATGCATTGTATGTCCTGTAAGAGGGCTTTCTGACACGGGCGCAAAGCGTCGAAGCCGCTGCCGCAGAAAAAGCCACCCATTTGGAAATAATGTGTTGTTAAAGCTTTAAAACAAACTTTACTAAAATAGAATTAGAAATCTCACTTTTTTTGTGGCAAATGAAATTGGATTGTCATCATCAAGGTGAATATTAGCTTTGGATATTATGATCATCACAGACCTGGTCATAATTGGAACGAAAAACAGTCCACGTCAAAGTCATAGCTGGAAAGTTTTAATGGCATCACATCAGCCACCGTGAAAAATGATGGCGGGGATGCATGACAATCAAAATGATGTCACTTGTTTATATCTTTTTTCGCACCTGTAACCATTTTCCATTGTATTATTGTAATTAACTTATACAAAAACAAAAAAAAAAGACAAAAAAAAAACGGAAAAATAAAACTTCGTATATATTTATGTTTGTTTTTTGTGAATAATAAATATGTATTTAGTTGTAAACAAATTAAAAACGTAGGACACTTTTTGCCGTATTTGATTTCATTCAACTGTGATGCAGTGGAAGCGCTAAGACAACAACAACAGTTTTATGACCACATTTAATTGCTTACAGTGGCAAAGATGACACGAAATGTTTTGAATAGATAATAACGGCATGACGTTGCTGTTTAAACCAATACTATGTACTTTTTTGGGATTTCAAATATTTGTGCAATTGTTTGTAAAATAACTATATGATTTGTTTTGGTAACAAGTAAAAAAAAATCTGTTTAAAAAATTCTGTTTAAATTTTTAAGAATACCGAATATAGCCGTTTATTGGGGTCTGTACGACGTGGACCTACAAAGGCATTGTTTGTCATAAGCCATTACCATATTCAAATTCGATAAATTGATATATACGGTGAATAATGTAGCTAAAATCATCAAAATATCGTATATAGGGAGGTACCGTTATATCGGAGCTGTGTGAAGACCTGGACCACCCCGACAATTTTCTGTCAGAAGCTGTAGCATCCATTACGAAGTTTAAATACGATATCTCAAACAATGTCGGTGGGTATTGTACCTAAAATCAAAATACCGAATATAGGGAGGTACTGATATATGGGGCCTATACGAAGACCTGGACCTGCGCAGACAAATTTGAAACAATTCAGGTGAATAATGTCGCTAAACTCATCAAAATACCGAATATAGAGAGGTACAGGGGGTTATACGAAGACGTGGACCAGCACAGACAATTTTCTGTCTTAGGCTGTAGTATCCATTACGAACTTCAAATACCAAATTTGAAACAATTCCGGTGAATAATGTCGCTAAAATCATTAAAATACCGAATATCGGGGGGTACCGTTATATGGGGGCTATTTGAAAACGTGGATCTACATGGCCCATTTACGAACCTGTCTACTGGCAAAATAAACATGTGTGCAAAATTTTAGCCTTCTATCTCAATTCGTTCGAAAGATAGCGTGATTACAACAGACTGACAGACGGACATCGTTAAATTAGAATTAGACTTAGAATTTTACGCTGATCAAGAATATATACTTTGTTGGGTCTGACATGAGTATTTCGAGGAGTTACAAACGGAAGGCAAAGTTAATATACCCTCCATAGTATGATGGAGGGTATAAAAAGCAGTAATTTCGGTCGGATCGAACTTTGAATACCCTCCACCATTTGGAACGAAAAAAAATGTTTTCCAATAAATAAAATTTGTCAAAAAGTCTGTTAAAATCTAAAAAATGCCGAATATAGCTGTTTTGACTCTAGCGTCATAACAACAGACGGACGGCTGGACATGGCTAAATCGTCTTAGAATTTTACGCTGATAAAGAATAAATACACTTTGGTGTATATAAAAATTATTATTGACGAACTTAATATACCCTCCATAACATGTATGATGGAGGGTATAAAAAAGTAGACTACAAGTTTTAACAAGATGAAATTGCTAATAATTCCCCAAGTTGAAATCTTAAAAAAGTCATTTTGACAGCAAGGGCTGTTCGAAAACCCGAATTTGTATTCAATATTTTCCAGAATGATTTTTATTGGAGGAATACAGCAACAATTTTGATTTAATACTAAAATGAAAAAAAAAAATAACATGCAAGGATAATTTACTCTGCAAAAAATTGGGATCTATATGATCAGAATATCCCATTTAAAGGTAATATTAACAGCCTGTCTCCACCATTGACGCTAGGTTGAAAATAAAGGGTCATTCCACAAAAAAAAAAAAAAAAAATGAGTGTGTGTGTTTGTACGTAGTTATGGTTGCAACAATTGTTTATGAGAGCAATGGCTAGTTAACGGAGTTTCCGGCTGGGAGGATGGGATACATTTCAATTTCAAGTTTTTAGTTCTTGCAATGTCAGCCCAATCTATGAAATATGTCAGAATTTGAAACAAGTAAAAAAAATGTATGTTCGACCGGGCCGAACTTTGAATACCCTCCAGCATTTGATACAAATTTAACAATAAAATAAACAAAAAAATAACATCCGTTAAAAATTCTGTTAATATCTTGAAAATACCTAATATAGCCCTACATTAGAGTCTATACGACTACGTGGACCTGCATAGGAAACTTTTGTCATAAGCTATTACAATATTCAAATGCAAAACTTGAAAGAAAAAAATCTGTTTATAATGTAGCTAAGATCATCAAAACACCGAGTATGGGAAGGTACCGTGGTGGTTATAAAACGTGGATCTATACAGACAATTTTCTGTCAAATGCTGTAGTATTCATTACGAACTTCAAATGCGAAATTTGAAACAATTCCGGTAAATAATGTCGCTAAAATCATGAAAATACCGAATATCGGGGGGTACCGTTATATGGGTGCTATACGAAGACGTGGGCCTACATGGCCCACATTCAATACCAAAAGTCCTGCAGATATAGTACACATTTGAGTAAAATTTTATCAACCTACTTCATTTCGTTCGGAAGCTAGATTGATTCGCTATATCGACATAGAATTTTATGCTGATGAAGAATATATATACATACTTTGTGGGGTCTAAAATGTATATTTCGAGGTGTTACAAACGGAATGACAAACTTAATATACCCTCCATACTATGGTGGAGGGTATAAAAAATGTGATGAAAATGTTCGATTATTTAGCACACATCAATATTTCTACCACCTCTGTGTTTAGTATGTAGGGAAACTGACTGAGGGTATATGTACATCTGCCGGCGAAACCGACTAACTTTCTTTAAATTGTTATTCTTGATACTGTTAGCTTAAATATAATGCAGAAACAAAATTAAATTTATATCAATTTGACACCAAATTCCAACAAAATTGATAATGACTACAATTTTCAGGTGTCACAAAATATCTTATAAAAATCATATTTTTCATTTATTTTACCAGAAAGTCCTCCCAAAAAGGTACTTTAAGGTTAATTAAATTGTCGTTTTAAAAAATAGGGACTAATTATTATACCTTGGGGGAGTTTTTCAAAAAAAAAAAAAATGCAGCAGAAAATATATCGAGGTTATGGTCGCGCAGCAAATTTTCCATTGTATCGATTTTGGTTCGATATTTTTGGTAAATTTTACATGCAAATGTGTTTTTTTTTTTTTGGAGGGGTCCACGGAATTGGTTTCGAGTAGTAACCTTACAAGTCTAAGGCCAATGGGAAATTGGCCACTATACATAGTATGGATGGCATGTTAAGTTTGTCGTTCCGTTTGTAACTTATCGAAATAATAATTATAGACCCAGCAAAGTATATATATTCTTGATCAGAGTAAAATTATAAGACGATTTACCCCCATCCGGCCGTCCGTGTGTTGTGTCCAAATTAAGATATGAAGCTAAAATTTGGCACAGATTAGTCTTTTGTCTGCAGGCAGATCAAGTTCGAAGATGGGCTATATCAGTTCACGAAATCATATAGCCCACATACAGCGGTACCTAGCGATATTCGGTATTTTCATGGTTTTATCCACATTTTCAATGGAGTTGACTTAAAATCCACACCAGGAGTTTCTTCTGAGTACTTTGCCCCCTGGAAAAGAATTGTTTATATAGGATTATATAGGTCCATATAACGGTAACCTCCGTTATTCGGTATTTTGATGATTGTAGCCAAATTTTTCAATGGAATTGTCTGAAAATCCACACAAGGAGTGGAAGAGAATTGTCTATATAGGTCCATTATATCGTATATCCCCCATATAACGGTATTCGATATTTTGGTGATTTTATCGACATTTTTACCGAAAATGTTTCAAATCTCGTAATGGGTACTACAGCATATGATAAAAAATTGCTTATGCAGGTCCACGTCTGCATTTAGCCCACATATAACGGCACCTCCTGATATTCTGTATTTTGATGATTTTAGCCAAATTTTTCAATGAATTGTCTTAAAATCCACACCAGGAGATCCTTCTGAGTACTTTGCCCCCTGGTCTTTTTTGACCGGAATTGTTTCAAATTTCGTATTGAAAGTTTGAAGGTCGTATTGAGTACTACAAACTGTGACGGAAAATTGTCTATGCAGGTCCACGTCTGTGTATAGCCCACAGAGACCGGTATCTCCTTTTATTCGGTATTTTGAAGATATTAGAGATATTATTCACTGTGATTGTTTCAAGTTTGATGATACTAGCGACATTTTTACGGAAATTGTTTAAAATGTCTTATCTTAGTTCGTAAAGGCTACTACAGCCTCTGACAAAAAAAATTACTTATGCAGGACCACGTCTTCGTACAGCCCCTATATAACGGTTTTCCTTTGAGTGGCATTTTCCGACGGAATTTTTTGAAAATTCTTCAAATTCCTTCAAAATGGTAAAGGATATTAAAAGTTTGGCCCGGTCGAACTTAGCTTCTTTTTAACTTATAATTGAATTTTTTGTGAATTTTATACTTTCCCTGCCGTTTTCTATCTTACTTGATTTATTGTTTGATTTTATTTGGCAAACCATGATTAACCTTGAGAAAGATGTGTTGCCAGAAATCATTCGAAATTTTCAAGTACACCAACAATATCCCTATGAACCATTACAGGTAAGTATTATTTAACAACTCTGTAATATTATATCTCTGTGTAAAAGATTTTAAACATATAAATCTTATTTGATATTTGTTTAATTGGCCAACTATCAGCAGAATTGTAACGTTTGAAAGCAATGCAACTAGTCAATTTCGACATATTCCATAGTTGATATAAATAAACGGAGGTAGTAACCATTTCCACAGAGAGATATATAAATAATTGCAAGCAATGTTAGACAGCTTGGTTTTAATTCTAATCCTGGCATTGATCGAAGGTAGTAAGTCCTTCCTAACTGAGGTAAAGCCATCGCACCGACTTCTGCGGAGATTTTATTAAATCCGAATCTACATTTTGCAGCGCACTTACGACATGAAAGTCGTGGCAATGTATTCCTCTAGACCCGATCTTTTCTCCTTTACCGACTGGAAGGTGGAACGTGTTAGCCGCGGAGTCTTTGCATTTTTCGGTAAATATACAGTAAATATGACAGTCGAAGTCGGCGATTGTAATGAGGTGAAATGAATGTTGCAATTTATTGGAACAACAATGACATTCTCTTTAAAAATAATCTCTCTTACAGATCGAAGTCCTTACATATCGCAGTGAAAATGGTGTTAGAGATTTTCGCCTATTACCATTCAAAGTCGAACGCCAGCATATTTTTGATTATATGAGTGGTTTCTATAGAACGTATGTAATGAATACCATCAAAACATGTTCAACCATGCCAGTTTTTGAGGGACGATTTCAGCCACCATTCGAAAAGAGAGACTACGTTTTAGATAAATGTCAGTTCAATTTGGATGATTATCCATATGTGCCAGAAGGTTTCTACAAAGTTGCTCTAATTGGTTATGGCGATGTAAGCTGGTCAATGAATTTTACAGGGCACATAAATGTGTGGTAAAATTATATCAGAAGTTAACTCCAAACCAATTATAGTCTTATGTAATAATAATTCTAGAATATTTGAAAAAAATTAAAATGAAAAAAGGAATCAGGTAACTTCCAACAGAAAATTGCCGGATGTGTACTTTTATTTGGTTTAAAACTATTGAGCAAAAGTAAGTTACACGGAAATTTAGTATCTTCTTTAAAATAAAAATTAGACAATATTTCATTGATGACATTTTTAAATTTTTTTAAAAATACTTATGTAAGTTTTTTTATTACTCGAATCGTTTTGAATTTAGACTTATTTTTTTTATTTTTTTTTTTTTGGGATGTAACTTCGATAGCCACAGTTAACAGTGCAGTATTAATTTGGGAGTTTTTTATAGACAGCATAATTTTCGAGAAGTGAGTATATTTTTCTTTAGTTATTTACATAAAAATCTAGTTTTTAAAAAATTAAATATAGAGAGGTACATTGATATAGGGGCTATACGAAAACGTGGTGGACCTCTGTAGGCAATTTTCTGTTACAGAAGGTGGTACCCATTACCAACTCCAAATACAAAATTTTAAACAATTCCGTAAAATAATGTGACATAAATCACCAATCTGGTGATGGATTTATGTGGGGACAAGAAACAACTTGGATCTTTATGGGCTGTTCTCTGCAAGGATATTTCCTACATACTGGGAACACAAAAATGCCAATTTACAGCAATTTCGATAGAAAATGTTGACTAGAAAATCCAAACCACATTAATTCTGCCGGTACAGTAATATGGGGCCTAGCCCAAAAATTCTATGAACCTCAAGTACTTCTGAATAAATGTTTATCAACCTATTTCATTTCCTTCGGAAGATAGATTAACTGACTGACCGAGAATCAACGCCCAGACAAAATGGCTGAAACAAGATTCCTGAAAATTTCTACGCATCGTAAGCGTGTAATGAGGCTGGATTTTTGCAAATTCGTACTTAAAGGTTACTAAAAGTGCTAAAATGTACTAAAAGTTGAATACTTTGTAGTGGACAAATGCAATGAGATAAATTTCTGAAATTTGAAATTATGAAAAGTGGCACTAAACTTCTTCTTCATTTTGTATTATGAAAACCGATAGAGCTAAAAACTTGAAATCTGGAATGAGGAAGGTTGGTAATTTTATATATAAAGGTTTTGGAAATGTGTACTATAACAGTTCGGGTATAATTGGGTATTGAGTGAAGGGATAGCTGAAATCCCGAAATTTGATATTGACATCTCTGTTGGTATCTGGGATTGAGATATGGGAATGTACACTGTAATTGTTCGAAAAGTACTAAATTCGGTATTGGGCTAAGGACAAGAGTTGAAATTCTGAAATTTGATGTGGTGTCTGCGTTGAAAAAATGGAGGTGCTTTTGGGAATGTGTAATATAATTGTCTGAAAAGTACAAAGTGGTACTAAATTGGGAATTGCATTAAGGAATAAAGCTGGAATCCCGAAATTTGACATTAAGGTCTCTGTTGGAATTGAGATAAGGAGATGGTTTTGGAAATGTACACTATAATTGTACGAAAAGTATTAAACAGTACAAAATTTGGTATATATGATTGGATTTGGTATATGGACTAAAGTTGATTTGGATATAAGTGTTGGTGTCTGTGTTCATGGTTTTGAAACATTTTGCTATTATTTTTTGAAAAGTACTAAGTGGTACTAAATTGGGTATTGGGCGAAGGAATGAAGTTAAAACCCGAAATTGAATATCAAAGTCACTGTTTTTATCCGATTGTGCGAAAAGTACTAAAAGCTACTAAATTTGGTACTGTGTGAAGGGATGGTGCTGAGATTTGAAAATTTGATAGTTAAGTCGCTATTGCTTCCTATGGTTTACATATGGAGATATTGAAATAGTTTTAGACAGAAAATATGGATTCGACTCCATTGTGCAATGGTTTTACTAATATTCTCATCGGTAAACTTCAAAATGAAAGATTTTGAAGATTATTTGTTGTGAACAGAAAACATTTTCATATTATTCTTTCTGAAAAAAGAAAAACTTGAACTTTGAAGGTCTGAAAATTTAATACAATGTATGAAGTTTTGATTGAAAAATTTCGTCGAACTGAAGAAACTATGCATTTTGAGTATTTAAATGGGCTAACAGAAACTGTTGAAGCGAATCTAAACTTTTAAGGTGGACTTTTCGCTGACGAAGTAACGGACACTCGCTAGTACTTCATAAAACAATAACAGTATAAGAGCCTACACAACATTTTACAGTAGGAAGAGGTGATATTTTTTGCTCGGAAACACTTGCAATTAATACATACATATTTTCAGATATCAACATTTTCTAATGATGGGAATGGGGAGGGGATTAAATATTAATGAGATCGTACGTTTCCAATTTTAGGATACCCTACATCACTTAGTTGTAAGGGTATTATGTCTTTGAGCATTTGTTTGTAACATGAAGAAGGAAACTTAATTTTTGAGTCGATTTATGCATGTCAGTCCGTCCGTCCGTCTGTCCATGTATTGCACAAATTCCAGGTCGCATTTATTATCCGATTGAGATGAAACTTACCAAACAATATTTTTTTGGCCCAAGGACGAACGCTATTGAAATTGGTGATAATCGATTCAGATTTGGATATAACTCCCATACTCCCATAGCTTCATCCTATTTCGGGTTAATTGTGCACCAAACGACCAATATCAGTCCAAATGATCTGAGTTTTGGCACATCCGACCGATTTACGTTTGGAAGCAAGTACATCAAATTTGGAGAAAATCGGTTCAGATATAGCTATAGCTCTCATATATATGTTTCATCCGATTTGTTGCTTATGTCCCCCACATTCGTAATATGCATTCGACAATAATGATATTTGGTATTAGATATCATATTGAGCTTGGAAATACCTTAGCCAAAATGGAGTGAATATCGGGAACTTGGCTCCGATATTTTTTTAATATAATCCTTCTCGAAGTGATATAATGCACTCTATAGCTATGTTATTTGGTACAAAAGATAAAACTATCTCCGTCAAATTTAGTGAAAATCGATTCAGAGTTGCATATGCCTCCCATATATTAGTTGCCTCTGAAGCCAAATTATAACTGCCCTAAAGCCAAATGTTGATAGGTGGTATGATCTGCTTCAAATATTTTTTTTTTATTACGGAAGCTCTACAAAATATGCATAGTGGTGGTGTAGGGTATCATATAGTCGACCCGCCCGACTTTTGATTTTTCCTTACTGATTTTATTTTATTAATATGCTTATTTATATTGATCTTGCGCCTAAGAATATGCTACGATATTATTGAACACAAGGCCTACGTTAATGTTAAAACTAAACATCTGCCACGATAGTGTTGTTATTTCCACACAATATTTAAAATACAAATCGTGTGAAACACAGGAATCTACCCAAAAGGATATAATATACATTATTTTACCAATTGAACGGGTGAAATAAAAATGTGGAGTCGGCTGAAATGCAAAAATCGTTCTCGTTCTATGGAAATCACAGAAAGAAACAATGTATGTTGCAAATAAATTTAAGCCCTGTACCATGACGTGGGGTGTTAAAACTGAGGTGTAGTTTAGATTTTACTCATTGAACTACTGCTATTTTTGCTCTTGGTCACAGTTTGGTAGGTACACAAATCTACTCGAAAATAAGGCGCTACGTTGCTGTTTTGAAAGTAGTTATTTACGCCAAAGTATACTTAATAAATTCAATACTTTCTCACGACATTTTCTTTCGGGTTTTGACTAATAGAGACTAATTTGAGTTTCTAGTAGTCCAGCTAGTTTAATTTCTACATAAATTTGCTTCAAGCAATAGCAAGTATTGAAGAAACTTAATTGAAAAACACACAAAAAAGTAGCACCATTTGGTAGGACATAATTAAATAAATGAAAAAAAGCCGTCGAAAAAATACCTTTAAAATGAAACCGTTTTATTACAGCTATACGAAGACGTGGATTTGCTCAATAATTTTCTGCCGATTCGGAACTTCAAATACGAAATTTTAAAGAAATTCCAGTGAATAATGTCGCTAAAAACATAAAAATACCGGTACCGTTAGATATGGGCTATACGAAGATGTGGACCTGCTGTGCGAAGAAGTGGTCCATTTACGCAAAATGTTAGCTCTCCACCTCAATTCGTTCGAAAGATAGTGTGATTACAACGGAGAATCACAGATAAACTTAGATAGACTTAGACTTAGAATTTTACACTGATCCAGAATATATATACTTTGTAGGTCTAACATAAGTATTTCGAGGAGTTATCAGCGGAATGACAATGTTAATGTACCTTCCATAGTATGGTGGAGGATATAAAATTCTCTAAAAATATAAAATATTGCATATTTAAAATGTTGAATTTTCTTATTTCAACCTTCACATCAACAACACTGCCTCAATTTAATTAAGTTCATTACAGCTTTCTTGTCAATGCAATTAAATAAATTGCGACAGTATTTTCTTTTAATTAAATGGAAAGGCATTCCCTTAAGTAATAAATAAACCAAATAAGAAACATTCTAAGTTATTAATCTTGTGACAAAATAGTAAAACGCACACACTTACAATGACAGTATAAAAAGGGTTAGTGAGGGCCATATAGTATTTCATTATTAGTGAATATGACAATTTAGAGAATAGTCATAATTTCCTTGACACTTACATTCGTGTGTGCCTTCCCCGACCCTAAAAAGGAAATATTTCTATTCTTTCTTAGGTATTCGAATGGGACGCGTGCAATTCTAGCATATTAGCGTCTTAGCAAGTGTTGACATAATTTCCGTTTCCTTTAGATTCTTTTGTAGATATTTTTCAACCCTTTTGAAAGGAAACAAAAGCATCCGTCGGAGAAAGGGGTTAATCCGGCATAGATGTTGTAAAAAATGACTTGAAGTTAGTAAAAAAATATAAGACAATACGCTTATGACACATCGAATGGGATACGGTTTACAAATCGAAGGGATTTGTATAAAAGTATGTTATGGCT